GCTAAGTTTTTTTTTTTTTTTTTTTTCATGATTCCCATGCAAAAACAATAATGTCAATTCATGATTTACAATAAAGTTTTTGACCATATTATAACACATTTATGTTCTTATATTTGGTTATTTAATGATCTTATGAACCAAAAATGAAAATCCCAAGAGAATTTGCATTAATAATTTACACATTTACATTCATCCCAACAAAAGAAGAAAAAAAAAAACTAATCCCAAAATTAAAGCTTTCTAATAATTATGAAAATAAAATCTTCCCATCCACAAATTCTTCCATAATCCATCTGATTCTGTCTCCATTTGAATCTTCGACGGCTATGTTCAAATCCAACGAAACAAGTCGTTCGTGTTCGTGTTCTTGTTCTTGTTCTTGTTTAATGGTCCGTTCTTCGGCGTTGAAGACGATAATCGCGTCCTTTAGGGGACAAAATTCCCCATCAGAAAGCTTCACACTTCCCTTTTGAATGGCTTCTTTAATACCCATTAAGGAACAGTGATCAATTTGTTGAATGTCTTCCATGAAGAACAGTCTATGAGGATTTTCATTCACTGCCTCTGCAAATCTCTGTAAATAACTGCTACCCAGTTCATCTCTGGTCCTTTTTTTGCTGTGATTTTGTGATTTTTCATGATTGAAGCTGCTCAAACTGATGGATATGAGGTTTGTTTGTGATCCAAAGAAGAATTTGGCTAATTCTCTTGCTGTTTGTTCTTTGGATTGGCTTTGTTCTTCATTTCCTATGAACAAAAGGCAGCAACTTTCTTGATGATCATGATGATTACGATATCTGTTCTTGCTGTTCTTGCTGTTCTTGGACCTGCATTGGAGGATTTTGGCTGAGATTTCATTAGCTTTGTGGTTTGAGCAATTGGGAATGGTTTTTGAAAGTTTCAAGCAATCATCTTCTTGATCTTCTTGATCTTCTTGATCTTCTTCCTCCATTACCACTTCACTTGTGGAAGCTGAGTTCGGGCTCGAATTGGGGTTCGAGAGGAGATCCGGTTTCGAAACGACGTCTCGTTCCGGGTTCTCGTCCCAGAATTGATACTCTTTTGGAGACTGTTTGAGGCCAAGAAAGTTATAGTGACCGAAATTATCACATGTCCCATCCTGTTTAAGACAGACAAAAAGACAAAACACAAACATTAAAAAAGTCAAAAACGAAATAGAAGTGGTCGGAAGTCAAATTTTCATTAATTTTTACAACTAACCTGTTCATCGGTAATTACGTCACTTTTTCTTGCATCGAACCGTTGGAAAATTGTTGGAAAATTACATTCTTGGCTGAAAAACAGTAAAAAAGTATGAGATTTAATGCAAATAATCTCTGTTTCTTTTGAAAAAAAACATGTTTTTTTGTTACCTTTCAAAGCTGAGACTTAGACTCAAACTGCCAACAGGAACAGCAAGAGGCTGAAGTGACCAGAGCGACTCCAAAGAAGGCCGACCAGCCTTACATTTCATATATATTTGAAAAGTGGCAATACCCATAACCCAAAACCTTCCAAATCCTTCATTATTTCCATGGAATATCAGTGTTTTAAGCTCCATTATCAGCTGCTCCACAGGGCTGTAATGGCTTCTCTGTTCATAATTTGACCAAAACTCTGCGACCCATTTGAGATCTCCCAAATAAAAGATAACCCTTTTGCCCATACAGCTTTTAACGATGCATTTCAGCTCCAAAACCTTCTGTTCTATCTCCTCCTTTGAAAGGTTCCTCAATGAAAACAGAGGAAGGCTTAAGAATTCTACGTCTTTGAGCTCTTTTGGGACTTCCCCTTTCTCAAATTTCTCCATTGCTCCTCTTATCATTGCTTCAGCTATGCCCAAACTCTCGCCTATGATCACTGTGTTGATGATTCTCCTGGCTTGGCTGATTCTGATTGATATCTGTTCTAAGACGTTTGATATCTCTTTTGCGTGATTGGGGGTGGCATTGATACTAAATTGGGTAAAGGGTATTGATTTAGAGGTGTTTATGGCAAGATTTGGAGGGGTTGAAGTGTTTGTGGGTATCAAGTTCCAATTTTTCTCACAAAAGTAGTGTCTTTCATTGTTGTATTCCTGTAAAGAACAAGAAAATCTTCATGGGTTTGTGTTATAATAGAGAATAATGAATAATAACATGAGTTTTTGAGTCACTAACCTCCAAGGAAAGAGCTTTTTCAACGTTGTTTTTGACTTGTATACTAGAGAAACCAGCTTCTCTCATGACTCTACTAACACTTGGGTCATCCAAGATCGAGATTATGAGTTGCTCCAACTCGATCTTCAAAGCTAAAATCGGTTGTTGTTGTTGGTGTTGTTGTTGGTTTTCAATAGAGCCGCGACGTTGGTGTGCTTGCGCTCGTTTGAAAGCAGCAACCAAGGCATTGGAAAGGCAAGGATTAGGATATTGTGGGCCAAAGAGTGGGTTCGGTGTCGACGTAGGGAGACGATTGAGAGCGACATTGAAGCAAAGCTCAAGAGCTTTGCATTGGAGAGGATGAGAATGGCAATGAAGACAAGCTCTACGAAGGAGACCGGAGGAGGAAACGAGCATGGCGCTAGCAACATGGAGAGGGGTGACATGGGCGTGGCCTCGACGTCGTGCAAGGCCGATGGCTTGCTTCACGGTCACCTCGGCCTCGACGCTAAGAGCTTGGAGTTGTATAGTGCAAATTCCAGCTCTCATGTTTGCAACTACACTCTTTCTTTTCTTCTTGGGTGTAAGAAACTTGTTGAGTATATAAGGGGAGTATGTTGGTACCTTTCTTGTTAGTGAGGGAAATTTGTTGGCTTTTAATAATATATGAAAAAATAAAATAAATAAAAATAAATAAATAAATAAAAGGTGGTTACCATGTGATATGCTAACTTTGTTTCTCTCACATAAAAAATAAAAATAAATAAAAAAAAAATTAAAAGGAGGGGTCTTGAACTTTTGTTAAGAATAAGATAAAAAAAAGAGGGGAAAAAAACAAGGTTTGGGGTGAAAAATGGAAAGAGAAAAAAGAAAAAGGTTGAAAAAAATAAAGAAAAAGGTGAGGGGGGCATAGAGGCAATAATAAAGGAGTTAAAGGACCTAAAGTGAAAAGAGAGGACTATGTGATTTTTACTGTTCTTAAAGAGAGGGGAATAATATTTTTAATGTCTCTTTTAGGATTTATTGGGAAATATAGATCACAATAAAAATCAAATGAAAAAGACAGATATTTTAAAAAATATTAATAAATTTAATTTAATTTAAAAATTTTAAAAAAAAAAAAAAAACATTCTCTTCTCTATCTCTTTCATGCATCCCATAAAGTTGTCTTTATTCTTTAAGCCTCTTTTCTTTGTTTCAATTCGGAGGATCTTGATTTTGACAACTATATTATTTTTCGATTTTAATTTTCTTAAATATGGGTTTTTTTTTTAATTTTAAAAAAATGAAAAAAATAATAATTATAATTTCGTGGATAGTGACGGACAACCTAGTATTGCTTTTCTACGAAAGTTTATAGAAATTGTATCGTCAACTACTCGTAAGAAGTTTATAGACTTTGAAATTTCATATCCTTAAATACAAGAGAGCTCGGTCAAATGGAGTAAGAAAATGAAATACGATAATAAAAGATAAAGGTTATACAACACGTTATACGATCACACTTTCAATAGCTTATCTATTCTCTTCTATCATATCATTACTTACCTTAATATCTTAATATTTGGTATTAATTTTTAATGAAAAGGACTTATTATAAGTAATATAAAAAAAAATTAGAAACATAGTAAATTTTAGAAACTAAATAGGAAGCCCATAAGGATTAAGCCCGTATGCCCACCGGGCAGCCCAAGTAGTCCACTGCTACATAAATGGGCCAAGCGGTCCATCTTTAAATGAAATAGGAAGCCCATAACGATTAAGCCCGTATGTCCACGGGGCAGCCCAAATAGTCGACTGCTACATAAATGGGCCAAGCGGCCCATCTTTGAATAAAAATAGGAAGCCCATAACGATTAAGCTCGTATGTCCACCAGGCAGCCCAAGTAGTCCACTGCTACATAATTGGGCCAAGCGGCCTATCTTTGAATAAATAAGAAGCCCATAAAGATTAAGCCCGTATGTCCACCGGGCAGCCCAAAAAGCCCACTGATACATAAATGGGCCAAGCGGCCCATTTTTTTTAACAACCTCTTGGGCTTTTTTTTCGTTTTCATATAGACAATACGGAATCACAAATTGAGGAAAAATATACATAATTTAAAAAAAAAAAACTTTTCAACCCTATAATGAAGTATTTTTATAAATATTGAATACTAAATTATAATAATTAATAACAAATTAAGTTGTAATTATGCAATAAACAATAGTAAAACATTGGCTTAATGTTATATGAAGATTATTTATTAAGCTGATAATCATAAATTCATTTTTCATGTATTTGGCAGCCTCTTCACTCTCCTTGAGAGTGCATTTACTTCAAATTTTGCTGCAAAATATCCCAAACCCAGAAATTAAATTAATAAATAATAACTCCTGCAAGAAACTGCCCACATTACTGGCTCTCAGTGATCATATATATCCCTTGAAAGGAAAATAAAGAAAGAAAAACCAGAAATTGAAAAGTAGAATTCCCTAAAACAAGGCATTATTTGGTGAAACAAAGCAGCAAAATATGGTAAAAAGTTGAAACCGCTGAATTCTTTCTGGTTAACGAGTTCCTATGGCGATTTCTGGGTCAGAGCCCCCGGGATTTAAAGTCGGGGAAAAGGGATTTGTCGTCCCCTGCCATACCGACCTCCCGACCTCCGATACATGCACAGTAATGGAGAGAAAAGGAAAAAGAACAAGAAAAATTGTAGAACAGAGTCACAGAAACTTAATATGTTATATAAAGACCTGTTTGAAGACCTTATCCTTATGAAATGGCCTTCTCAAAACAAGGGCAAAGACAGCCAAACTAAAGAGCAAAAGGAAACATAAACCATGTTCTTTATTGAAGATGCTATGCTTGCTCCCCAAGTGCATGCACCAGCAGCAGCAGCAGCAACAAGGAAGACAGACACTAAGAAAAGAAAGGCAGAGGGTGCATCAGTTCAAGAGCATACTCTACACACTCCTTGAAAGGAAACTAGTTTTTTCTCGATCTCTTCGGCTGATTTCCACGGAAAATGTCGAGCAAGCCAGAATTTTTGCATATAGGGCATCTGGGATCATCATCTGTCACCATCACATAAAGCAGGCAAAAAGTACATCCCATCACAATTAAGGGCGAACCTTCAACTTCAAGGTTATTCTCCAAGTTTACATTTGACTCGACCTCCGCAGATACGCATGAGTCTTGAGATTTTGGGGATGACGATTTCGATTCATTCGATGATTTACCCCTTAAGTAGACCCCTGGAGGCGACAGTTTGAGATCCAAATATGCATAATTTTCATTACCAGTCGTTCCCATTCCCGCAGCATACCTTCTTTTAGTTTCCTTCTTTTAGAAATTTTTCCAGAATCACCACACAAGAAATAGGAAATATATTAGGATTCACCTAAATATGAGTAGATTTTGAGTACATTTTTACTTATTAGGCTAAAATATTCATTTGAGGAAAGGAGAGAGATCATAATCTTCCTGGTAAGGGAAAATAACAAGATCAAAACAAGACTGCCAAAACCATTTAAGGAAAAAATCCAACACAGATTATGATATTTACAAGTTGGGAGAAGAATTATACCTTATCAGTAACTTCTGATTGCTTCATACTCAGCTTAGAACTATCTTTTACTTCAATTGGGGATGAACGAGAGGACGAACTTTTAAGAACGAGAGATTTGTTAAAGTTTTGATTGAGTTGATCGACGCTCGAGGAGAACTCCTCAGGGCTACAGAGGCTCTCTAGGTCACCACCACCAGCACAATCCTTAGCATCACCAGAACTCTCCAGATATTGAGTGGTTTCCTGAGGTTTTGAGCCCATACCAGAAATAAGAGATGTGAGAAATGGTTTCTACAAATTCCCTCCATTTATACAAAAGGAATGAGGTTTTTCAGTGAACTGATTCATCAGGTAAGGTCTCATCTAGTGCTAATTAATTGAATCAATTTCAAATGCATGATTGTGCAACTTCAAAAATAAAAACAGAAAAAATAATTGTAAAATTAATGCATAGACGCATATCGGTACAGGCATACATGGATGCAATCTGTATGCCACATATATGGTTTCGTAAAAATAAATAAAAGCAAGTAGAGTATCCTTTTTGGAAAATTTGTCAAGTTCTTAAATGATGGAGACGAAAGCGAACCGCAAGGAAATCACACGGTTAAGCTGTCCTTAGGTAAGTGTTAAACAAAGTCTGCACAATTAATTATAAAATGCTAACCAGCGTGGATAGTCACGTCGATATTTAGTAACCGTTACAATGTTGGAAAATAAAGTGATAATAGCAATTTCTAAAATGCAAAAGTTGGAATATCTGTTACCATTACCACTAGGGTGATTTTAATTACTTAAATTAAAGACTCTTGAGTTGGACAAGTAGATGGAAATTAGCCTCTTTAAGAGCATTCCTAAACAGACGAAATTGATTACCAAGAAAAGAAGCTATCATTTAAGTTTTTCTCGAAGCCGAGATGCTAAAAAAGAAAGCGTTAAAACAATAAATTAAATTTCAAAACAATGATAGCAATACGTAATATAGATGTTGCCTATATAAAACTTAAATACTCAATAGTAAAAGAAAAGGCATAGAAACAATCACAGTGATGCCAATATGATGAGAAGAAACAACTCTACAGTCTATATGATATGGTATGTACTTCAAAAGATTAGCAAGAGCATTTACTTGTTCCACTTGAGAAGGAAATTTCCTTACCAAGAATTTGTATGTATAGTGTGAGATCCCACATTGGTTGGAGAGGGGAACGAAGCATTCCTTACAAGGGCGTGGAAACCTCTCCCTAGCAGACGTAAAAACCGTGAGGCTGACGACGATACATAACCGGCTCAAAAATATCTGCTAACGATGGGCTTAGGCTGTTACACATAGTGTCACAATCGCATGACCATGACACACAGCAACAAAGGGGTGTAGATCCTAAATTTCAATGCACAATATTAAACAAAGGCTTCGTAGTGTCTAAAGTTCTAGCAAGGGCATTAAGGTTCGATTAATATCCACAACTTGAACAAGATAGTGAGAGATCACAAGTTGTAGTAAGCATAAACAATCGAGAGTTCTATTTACTAGTTTGCTTCTAATTCAATGGGTATCAAATGTAAACAAACAAAAAAAATACTAAATCGAAATTAAACTATTTATCGATAGGAGTTTAAAATGGTCCAACTAAAAGTCATGTTGCCAAATATATGATTCTTGGGAATTTATTGACCAACAATTACAGTATAGTAGTTACATATTCAAGGTAAAACCCAAGGGAGGAGAAGACTGGTGAAAGAAAGTAGAGGTATAAAAAAGCCATTTTAAGGAAAGTGTTTCAACAAACTCTGTAATTTAGTACTTCAATGAAATCCTCAAGGTTAATGGCATGAATATTTTAGTAACCGTTGCGCCATTTGAATTATATACAAAAAAGAAGTGATTCCTTTGGTGCAAATATAGGATCCAATCTGGTGCCATTATTGTTTGGTAGAAAACAATTAATAGATTTGTCCTCAAGTGGTAAATGCTACTTAACCTCTTGAAGAACAAAACAGTAGAGATTAGATTATTACCAAGAAGAGTAGTTCCTCATCTAGGTTTTTCCTTTTCAGCTGCATAATAACAGAGGCATAATCCCTGGTTCAATTCTTTAAAAACAAAACAAACAATAACAAATCACCAAGAATGAATAGAAACTGATTAAAAAACTTGGCAGTGATAACAATAAGAAGATCAACAATCATGGCCACTACAAAAATGAAGACATCCATATGGTCTAAGAGGTTACAGAAAATCCCGTTCGTATTTCCTAAATATTACCCGCCATGATTGTTTTTAGTATTACCCCACAAGGCAGCATTAAGAACTAATATAAACTTAAGCTAGTTTAGAACAACCACTTAGAAGGGATAAATTTCCTAGGCTAAGGACTTGGGAGATAAGCATCTACACTACAATAAGTAGCTATTAGGAAACTCGAAGAACTTTTAACATCCTAGGAAGATCGCCATAAGTTTGAACCTATGTCCCCAAAGTTCTTAACTTCTGAACCTGTTGCAGTTACTACTAGGCCAACCCATAATTGATTCCATGGTTTCATAATAATAAACTCAAACCTAAATAGATCAAATGCCCAAAGTCGATTAAAGTCACAATTGTAAGAGTAACCATATTTAGATCTTCATTCATCCGGTAATTAGCCTGAATAACTTTATTTTAGAATAAATATTAACCTGGTTCATAATCCAACTTCCAATCACTATGGTGGGTAATCAGTAAAGTTCTGATAATACAAATCAAATACTCCATACTATCCTTCATACCAAAAAATAATCATGAAGGGAAAGTTCTATATTTTCTTATTCAAGGAAACAAAGTACTAGCTGGGTGATGTATATAATCCAGATGAAACATCAAAATTTGGAAACTAACTGGTAGCTGGGTCATTCTATAGTCAATCGCCCACGCGTCCTGATGTCCTCTATGAATCACAAGTATGTTAACACGAAAACAGTATGCAACATCAAGTTTATACTTTACATTTGTTTTTCAACAAGGCTTTAAAACTGAATCCCATAATAGTAAATTTTACCTAAACGGTGAACCCAGCAGCAACTAACTTCAATACTCGAGGATTCTATAACTTGAAGTTTCTCGACTCTTAAGCAGTGGTATCATTAAGTAAGTGAAAGAAGCGCTGAATATGAAAAGGATGAAAGTCACATGGTAGAAGCTGTATATAACTTGTTTATCTAGAATCCCTTAAATAATTATGAAATGTCTATGACTAAGGATCATAAGCACCATCCCTTATATCTCCATTACATATGAGTTGACAAGAGTCAACTCGTATGAAGGTTAAATAATCTTGAACATTATTAATTCACCTTCTACATAAATTGTTTCAAGCCTTTATTTACTTCTTGGGCTTACTCTCTGTACTAACACCAGTAATGATACTCAAGACATTACAATATCTTCCTCACACGTCTTCATCGAAGAACGATATCAATTGGAAACAAAAGGTCAATATTTACCCTCAAAAGTCCGATGAAAGATCCTATTTCACCGGTATAAATACAAATTTATTGATCTTTAACTTTCTTATGCACATGCAGAAGTTGCATTATATCTTTCTTTCTGGCTTTTAGATCTCACAGCAGGAAATTTAAACATTCATATCAGTTTCTAACCAAGATTACACAATCAAAGACCCGAGGTATCCACCTCTTAGCCTTCCCCAGGAGCTACAACCAAAGTTAAAAATCTAAAAGGCGAGTCTCTAATATTCTAGCAGCTCTCATGAACAATGAAACCAGCAATGATATCTCACTAAATGCCAGTAATCAAAGCTTTAATCCAATATGAACCATGGATCCAGTAGTTCAATTCTAAATATAATCCTTCTCCCATGATTTCTTAAGTTCATATCTCTCACCCGCAAGATCAGAAACATCAAAACGGAACTCCACAATCTAAACACTACCGCACTCATGATAAAAAGAAACAATGCTTTAACGGGACAGTACCTTCCCAATCACCTACAAGACTCAATCAACCGATCGCCGATTAACCAGCACCCTCCCCTCCTAGCCAACTTGACCGCCATCGAGAAGCCACAAACGGCGATGATCCAAACCTCTATAGTCATATTATTGGTAGAAAAATCGCCAATCCTTTTGCGGAAATTGGAATTAAAGACAACCCGAATCTTCCTTTTCTTCCCTTTCTCCACTTCCATTCTCGTTTTCCCGAACATATCTTCAAGATGTAGCGATTGAAGATCATTTGATGAGCAAAATGGATGGAGATGAGATTGCCGCGAAACACCCGTTTCGTCGAAAACCCCAAATTGGGATTCAGAAATTTCTGATTTCACTAACAAAATCGAGTAAAGGGAATGCCACTATTTTCCTTCTTGTAAGCATAAATGTTCCATTTATATTTATGGCCATATTTCTCGTGCCAAATAAATATAATACAAAAGTAAAGATTCATCCTTTTTTTTCTTCAAAGTGAACCAAACTTAGTATACTTCATTGAAAGATATAATTAAGAGTATAAATTCAATAACTATTAATATACTTTTCATGCAAAACATATCGTAAACGTCGCGTGTATTTATTGATGTTTTAAATATAGAAAAATAATAGACATAGTAATTGAAAGTCGAGAACAAAGATTTTGTCGTTTCTGGTGATGATAGACAGTGTCTGTGTTCTTTATTATTTAATGAAATGGAAGTTCGAATAAGATAAATTTTATTAAAAAAAAATTGTAAATCGAGTGCATTTGACGGGAATAAAAATATAATTATATTCAATTTTACTATACTTTACGAAAGCAATTAAGTTTTTAGTTTTATACCAAATTAATTCAATTTTTTTTTTAATTTTATAAGCTTGTTATTAGGTTAGCAAAAATATGACTCAATCGATTAAAATGTAATAATTTTGATTCCAAGATTGACCATCTTTTTCTACCACAAACAAAAACGAGTGAGATTAATAAAAAATTGTATGAGAATTAAGATTAGTGTTTATTTAGTCCTCGAAATTTAAAAAAACGATATTCGTGCCACTACTAGCACTCTGATTGATTGGCACTAGCTTGATTGCTTACCCTTTAACTTGCCACGGTTGTCAGTGGAAGGGTTGTCACTCAACGGATAAAAGTTACTTTAGGGATAACAGGCTAATCTTCCTCAAGAGCTCACATCAACGGCAAGGTTTGACACTTCAATGTCGACTCTTTGCCACCTAGAGCTATATTATGTTCCAGGAGTTGGGTTATTCGCCCACTAAAGCAATACATGAGTTGGGTTTAGAACGTCATGAAATAGTTCGATCCATATCCAGTGTGAGCATTAGAACATTGCAAGGATCGGGAAGGATACACCTCTAGTGCACCGTTATCGTACCCATGATAAATTGTGGGTAACTAAGTGAAGAGCAAATAATTGCTGAAAACATCCAAGTAGTAAGCCCACCCTAAGATGAGTGTTTTTCTATTCCGACTTCTCCATAGTCTCTAATAGCACAACCGAGACAGCAATGGGTTCTTTACCAAAGTTTCTATCCTAACTTTCCCTTTCTTATTTCTCAATGTTTATTATTATTATTTGCCTCTGATTTCAATTTTGAGATCAGTTGATGCACAATTCTAGTCGGAAAGTCTTAGTCGTTCTTTAGCTAGACGCACCTCGTTGGTGTTGTGCAAAGTAGTGTCGAGCAGAACATAATAGAATCGCATACCTTATATTAGGTGGGTGTACCCTTATGTATTTTAAGGCCATGTGCATCAAATATAGTGATGCAACCCGAAAGTTTAACCCGAACCAAAATTCAACAACAGAACGTAAAACCAAATCTTAAGTTTCAATCATAAATCAAAATCAAAATCAAAATCAAAATCAAAATACCACAATGTAGTAACTTTGCATGATCATACGATGAATCGAAGAGGGATTCGAAACCTCATAACCGAAGAAGATTAAACAGCACCCCACATGATTTATCAAAAGAAATGCCTCAGAAAAGAGCAAATTCATAAGGAAGCTGCACAAAATGAGCGAGAATGGCAGCGGTGAAATCTGACTAATGGCAAAAACTTTTACTTCATAGATCTCCAATACATGAAACAAAATTATCATCCATTCAAAATCAAAACTAAAAAGACAAGAACCAAAAATAAGGACCAATATGAAAATAACTAGCAACAAGAACGTCCATGGTCTTATGATATTGAATAACAAAAAACTTCTAATTCCCAAAACCTGTTGCGTGGTCTCAGTTACCTTAGTATCTCCTTGGGCCACCTGCACCCCGACCGAAAGCTTGGGGCAGATTCATAGCCTGTGGCTCAACCTCCACAAGTCCAGGAATGTCTGACATGCCAAAAGCAGCAAGCATATCAAGTGTCTCCTTGTCAACCTTGATTTCGTTAATTTTAATGGCTGATTCGTCTGGCACGAAGTCCATACGGCGTTCGCGCTCTTCTTCTTGCAACTTCAATGAGATGCCCCTGACTGGCCCCTTCTGAATTCTCTTCATCAAGTGGGTTGAGAAACCAGCAATCTTGTTTCGTAGCCTTTTTGAGGGGATGATGGCAACCTCTTCCAAGATCTTCTTGTTTGTGTGGAAATCCAGTGTCATTTTAGAGTAATACCTCTCAATCACCTGGCGTGAAGACTTCTTCACAGTCTTGGTGCGAACACGACCCATCTTCTACCAAACTTTACCTGAGAAACACAAAAGGATAACCTGTATCACACTACTTTCACAATCAGGACATACAACAGTATTACAGAAACTCATAGATCAATATCTCAGTAATCTAGGTATAAAAAAAAAGGTGTTTTTCCATACATTACAACAACACATTCACCCTGTATCGTCATTCAAGTAAAAACCCAAATACACTTCAATCCTACACTAGGAAGAAAAACTTGAGAATCACACAGATAAACTAAAACAGAGAATGTTTATATACATACATATATATCTTCTAACCTACATTCTTAAAAATTGAACATTCAACATCAGGTAGCTATAAGTTTATGAGACATTGATCATCACAAACAACATATAACCTCAAAGACAGCCCAAAAGCTTAAAGAGGCGATAGAGACTTCTCTTTCTCATCAACCACGAAACAGATTAAAAAAATTCTCATCAAATTTTCCATAACTATACAAAGGCAAAGGCAGAATCAATCCATTACCGATTCAATTCTCCAAAACAGAAGGCATGAATCCAACAAACTCGATAAATGAAAAACTCAACATTAAAAAGGAACAAACAATTGCATAACACGACCGATCGAAAAGATAAATAAGAAACCTGAGATAGAAGAACTAACCTGGAAGGAGAACGAAAGAGTAAGGAAGAGCACCAGAAAGAGAGCGAAGTTCTGCTGCTGCCGCGACTTAAGAGAAACCCTAATGCGAAAGAGGGAGATATAAGTGAAGGGCTACTTTAGGGTTTCTTGCCAGCTGAGGAATGATTCTATGTGGCTTTTTGTATACAGTTTTTTTCATTCATCCATTCAGATTCTGCCACGTCGATCAAAATCCTCTGATTTCCATCTAACGGTTAACGATTAGTTATCTTTTTCTTCCTTCTTTACCTACGATATATATATATATTTATTTATTTATCGAATTAAGAAATATAAGTATTTCAAATTTTACCTTTTAGAATAAGTTTTGATATCAATTTTTAGTTTAAACTTTTTATTTCATAAAATTATACTCTAAATTATAATAAGGGTGACATTTTTATTTTTTATTTAAATTTAAACAATCGTCATAAATCTTTTTTTTTTTTTTTAAGAATTATTATAAGAAAATATTTTTACACCGTTATAAAATATTAGTAGCCTCATTAGTATAATTGAGTGTACAAGCGAGAGACAGTAGCTTCATTAATATGATACCTTTTTGAGTCAAGAAACCTTATGACAAAAGTAGACGATATCATATCATCGTGGTTATATGTAAAGGTTTGATATCCGTAACAAGTTGTATCAAAATCATTCCCTGACTTAGCTACGTAGGTCAACTCCTCAAGTATCGAACAAAGAAGTATGTGAGTTATGGAAAATGCAGTCATAGCGAAGACTTGGAGCTCAGCATCCTTGCTAATACATTGTCTCGTGTCCACTTCTGAAGGGCCTCAGCCTCTTCGCTGACACATCGCTCAATGTCAAGCCCATCGTTAACAAATATTGTTCTCTTTGGGCTTCCTCTCAAGGTTTTTAAAACGCATCTACTTGGGAAAGGTTTTCACACCCTAATAAAGAATGTTTCGTTCTCCTCTCCAACCGATGTAGGATCTCACAGTAATAGAATCTAGCAACAAGATTTAAAGACGTGACGTAATAATAAATTTCACTAAAAACATCTCCCTCAAAATAATAAATTTCGCGCTTGCCCAACCTTACAGGCGTGACGTAACATGACTTACTTTAGACCACGATATCGGCGGAACTAACTAATCAACTACAAAATGTGATTAACTTACCTGGAAAAGTTCGTTTTGGAGCTATCCCCACCTGCCCAGCTGATCAACAATCCTGCAGTAGTTTAAAGTTTAGTGTTGAATAATAAGAAGAAGCTTTGGCTGCACGGTTGGAACTCGGAAGCATAGTGTTCGGTGCTCTAAGAACTCGACTCCGAAAACTAACATCTTAACAAGCTCATGCCATGGTCCTGATACTATATACTAATCACCAAAAATCCCCACAAGAACAATGGCCATTCGTAAAATGGTGGAATCGGTTGGTGTCCCTAACTACGACATCCCGACGAACGAGTTTCGAGGCAAGCTTCATAAAAGAGTGGCAGTCTCCACAGATTCTAAGGTTTTTCATGATCCTAAGAGGTGCATTGGGAGGTAAAAACAGTAATCCCATAGTAAAAGCAAGCTTCTCGCTGTGGTGCCTCAAAAGTTCTTGTTTTCTACTCTCTTCTACTTGATGAAGATCATGCTGAGTCTCCACCTGGTAACCAAGCTTCTGTAACTCTTCTATTAACTCATTCAATTTCGAGTAAATTTCAGCTATCTTAGGATGATTCCGCTCTCCGACCATAAACAAGTGAACCTCGTTCTTAATCTCAATCCAACTCTTTCCCCTCTCTTTCTTCACATCACTTTCTTTAAGGAGCTTCCTCGCCTTGGCAACTTCGTCCCACTTACCGTTCGCTGCATACATGTTCGACAGCAACAAATAGTTCCCTGCATTGTGTGGTTCGATGTCGAACAGATTCTTAGCAGCAACCTCAGCAAGTTCAAGATTCCCATGAGTCCTACAAGAAGCCAAAAGGGAACCCCAAATAGAAGCAGAGGCTCTAAAGGGCATTTTACAGATCAAAACGTAAGCATCAGAGGTCCGCCCTGCTCGACTAAGAGCGTCTACCATACAAGAATAATGGAAGACATTTGGTGCCAAATGATACTCTTTTATCATCAGATCAAAATATTTCTGTCCCTTTTCAACTAAACCCATATGACCACAGGCAGACAACACAGAAACAAAAGTAACATCATTTGGATTCAAGCCAATTTGCTGCATTTTCTCAAATAAAATCATCACCTCGAGTGATCGAGCGTGTCGAGACAAGCCAGATATCATAGCATTCCACAAAACAACATTTCTATATTCGACATCTCGAAATACTTTATAAGCTTCTTCAATGCCACCGCATTTTGCATACATATCAATAAGAGATGAAGCAACAAAGATATTTGAACAAAAACCAGATTTAGATAGCAAAGCATTCACCTGGTTCCCTTCAATCATGGCTGCCAATCCAGCACAAGCACAAATCACAGATGACATTAAAAACTGGTCATGTTTCAACCCTGTTTCCCATGCTTTACGAAACAACGCCAAAGCTTCCTCGTACATCGCATTTTGCACGTACCCTGCCGCCATTGAACTCCATGTGACAACACTCCTCTCAGACATGGACTCAAAAACATTAGCCGCATCGTTCATCAAACCACATTTTGCATAAACATCAAGCAACGCAGTAGCAACAAAAACATTCAGATTCATTGCAGCCTTAACAGCAAAGGCATGAAGCAGCTGGCATTCAGAAAGAGCACATTTAGCTGCACAGGCGCAAAGGACACTCGAAATGGTGAATTCACTAAAAGGGGTTCCTTCTCTTTGCATCTGTAGGAAAAGACCAAGAGCCTCATTTTCCTCACCATTTTGAGTCAGCGACCCAATCATGGTGCTCCACGACACCAAACTTCGGCTGGGCATTTCATCGAACACTTGGCGTGCAACATCAACTGAACCACATTTTGCGTACATGTTGATGAGAATATTCGACGTTGAAGTCTCTGCTTGTAACCCCATTAGCAGAATTCGGGCATGGCAAGCCTTACCTTGCAAGAACAGCCGTCTTTTTGCACATAATTTCAGTAGCTCAAGCACATACGACACATGGGTACTACAGAAATCCTCTGTAGTTCCTTTTTCACATTCAATAATGCATGAAGATGATGCAAAAAAACGACTAATGCAAACACGAAGACTAAGAAACTGAAAGATCTTTCCTGAATTTGTCGCAAAATGGCAAACATGGAGAAATCCCATCAAATTGTACCGAAGAACATCGAAAGAGATTATAATACTTTCTACTTTGAATTTAAAAAAAAGATACGGACTATTCCAAGAATCAACCGTTTGATTTTAGGGTTTTGGATTGGATCGGATCGGTACTTTCTCTTCCGACTGATTAATGGATCATTTAGAACCCCACTTCAAATTTTCGTTTTATTTAAATCTTCGTCAAATTCAACATCAAAATCTTGATAAGAAGATTCGCTATAGCATTATCCTCCCTAAGATTAAATGTTCGATCTCTTATACGTACATTTGTTGACACCAAATTAATAATGAAAAAAGGCAAATATTTTGCTTATCGAATCAAATCTGGAACTCAAATGAGCATTGGAATCAATACTTCGAGACTACAAGTTGTTACCTTCTTTTCGTCAATGATATAGAACTCAAAGATTTTGGTAGGTTTACACGTTTTTTTGTGATTCATAAGGAAAAAATGGTATCAAACAAAATCATGGACAATTAGAACGATACAGAAAATAGCGAGCTAGACACCGGCGGTGTGCAAGCAAGGACGCTAGTTTTCAAGAATAGTAGATGGTGAGATCTCATGTCAGTTGAAGAAGATAACCAATCATTTAAATATGAAAACTTCTCCTCAATAGACCATTTTAAAACCGATACTAACAGTCAAAGCAGACAACGTCTATTAATAGGTTTAATAGGTTTGTGCTCTTAAAGACATGTTTTTTTTACAAACATGTTTTTTTTTTTAAATATGCTCCCGAGTAAATTTAAAATTTTGAGTAATCTAAAATTAATTTTAAATTATTAAAAGAATATTCTCCAATAAATTTTAATCATTATAATCTCTATGTTATAATCTCGAACGTTGAATTTTTAGAAATTATATCGAATATTATATTATATTTTTTTTTATAAAATATTATTAAATTTATTCAAATATTTAACACTTTTTAATAGATATTTTAAAAAAATTAAAAATAAACAGAAAATTTTGTAACGATAGAGATTGAGATACGAGACAAATAAAAATTCACTCTCATTTTTATATCAACCAAACCCGAGCAATATCTTAATATCAGCCAAATCTCGGAGTCTCGAGCTTCACATTTGTAAATAATATATTTAATATATATATATATATATATATATATATATATTCTCTCATACCCCACTTCCACACAATGCCTTTAGATATATGCTTTGCACAAGTTGGGGTTTGATTTTGTAAAAGGATCAAATCACCAATAAATTTTAATTAATTATTTATTTATTTATTTATTAAAAAATACCCAAAATAAGAAATATCCAAATCCTTCTTCTTTCCTCTTCCTCTCATCATTTTGGTATCCTCATCTTCTTTTAAATAATTTCTTCACTTTCTAGCATTGTACTTTTTTTTTTAATTATTATTATTATTTTAATTAAGAAATCAAAGTCATATGGGGTTTGAGAATTGAGAAAAAGTAGAAAAAAAAAATTGATTGGCTTTTTTTTTTTTTTTTTTTTT